ACAGTTGCTGCAGGGCCTGCAGCAGTCAAGCAATGGTCAAGTGTCCGCATGTTACGTCCGACGGTCAGCAGCTCTTGCCATCCACCCCACCACTCGAGACGCGGTGAGCCCTCCCGGCGCATGACCTCCCGCTCAGAACGGATCTCAATCTCGATTTCTTGAACCACGGCCTCTGCGTCACGCATGGCAGAGGGTCGACCACCGGCAACCCGGTGCACAACACGCTTCGCGAGCGCCGAACGCCCGACCATGACGAGCCAGCGTGGCGTCTCGGGCATGTACATGACAACAGCCATCTGCACCGCCGCAGGCACAGCACCGAGTCCGACCATCCAGCGCCAGGCAGTATTTTTATCGCCGTAGACGGAGAAACCCCATCCGACGATGTAGGCGACAACCTGGCCAAGGGTGATGAAGAGGACGTTGGTCGTGACGAGGCGGCCGCGGTGGGTGGCAGGGGCGATCTCGGCAATGTAAAGCGGCACGACGAAGCTCGCCGCGCCGACCGCCGCACCAACAACGGCGCGGCCAAAGACCATGAAGGTGACAGTGTGAGCGCCAGCTTGGAGGAGGGCGCCGAGGACGAAGAGAAAATCGGCGAGGAGAATGACGCGGCGGCGACCGAGGGCGTCGGCCACAACGGAGGAGAAAGGGGAGACGATAAGGGCGAATAGGGCCGTGCTTGACGTGATGATGGATTTGTCGAAGGATGTGAGCTCGCGGTTCGAGAGGGAGTTGTCGATGGAGACGAGGGTTGCTGAGATCACGCCTGTGTCGTCTTCGCCAGGTAGTTAGCACGCAAGAAGCATATCTCGACAAGGGGCAGGCAAAGCAACATACAGCCAAAAAGCAGGCCGCTGATGCCGGCGGCAAACGTTAGCAGCCAGATGAACAGGCTGGCCTGCACGCCTGTGGTCTTGATGGGCGGGGGGAGAGTATGCTCGTCGGCGTCGGCGTCAGCGTCGGCATCGCCATCATCGTAGTAGTCGTCCCGGCGGAGTAGCTCTTCATCGTCGTCATCTCGTCTGTCGTCCCGCTCCCGGTCCTGCCGGTCCGAGATGAGCGGAGCTTGCGACGAGTGAGGCATGCTGAGGAGCGCGCAATCGAGGGGTGGTTAGGCAATCATCGAGCGGTTCGTCTCCGTGGCAGATTGCGACACCTGAGAGGGCTCAGAAGAGGGAGATGTCGGAAGATGGACAGCTCTGGTATGTTGTTGGAGAGGAACTGAGAATCTCGAGCCTGGGAGAGTGCACAGGGCAAGAATGATGTACGTGGAAGCGCCTCCTCCGAGAAACCCGTGTGGGTCCGCGGCTCTGTTCCCCCTTGATGATGTGATGACATGTACATGTACTTGACGGACCACCAAAACTTCTGCGTCAGTGCATGTACCTGTCAACACACGGACCATCAACCATTAAACGATGAACGTTGTGGACGACTATCGCCAGGAAATAGTAAGACACGAGACTCACCAGTCGTCGAGAAAGCAACCTAGCCAATCTCAGCTCATCTCCGTGAATCGAATCCCCTTTTGTGCTGCATCGGGGCTTCACGACCGCCAGATGACTTGATGAATTGGGCATGTGGCTTTCCTTGCAGGCGCCCCCGACATTTCCACTCCCAAAGCCACTGGGTCACAGTCGCTTGCCCGCATTTGACGTCTCCAACGTGGAGGCGGCTGTGCGGACGACGGGAGTCTATCCGGGGAACAACCTGGGGTCGGGTCTGCGAGGCATACAGGCGTTTGGCAAACCTTGTGTGCCTACCTCGACGCATGCCGCCGCATTTAGACTTGTACGTGCAGCTCATTGGTTTTCCGTTTGTCAAGGGAAACCTCCCCATTCGATGCATCGCCGTCACGTAACAATTGCTGCGAATCGTGCCATCCCATGGACACAATTACAAGGTCAAACATGACAGGGTGCTGCAAACAGGTCACATAAAAGCAGCGTCTCCCGCGAACTGACCACAGTGCATTATGGGAAGTCTTTCAATAGTGCCGCCCTGCGTGCAAACGCTCGACCAAAGTTCAGATATCCTACCGAAACCATCATCTCCTTCGCAATTCCATAGTGCATGCCTTCATCAAGAGAATGTAACGCCTTGCTGCCCATACATTATTGCGCCAGATGACCCAGTCTCATCATACACATGGAAAGTTTTGTCCCAGCGTCGCAGGCGACAGTCATGATCGTCATCGTCACTCCTCCTGATTACCAGTCAGTACACCGACGCCTGCCCACCCTGCCCTGTGTACATTGATGGCGACCCTGCGGTTGGAGAAGTTTGCCATTTCCCGGGTGACCTCACCTGGGGTACGCGAATATTCCTCAACGCGGCGAAGCCAGATCCCGACACGGACATGGAGCCCGCGCTCGACCCGAGCTCGGTTTCCTGACCTCCCCTATCGCTGCTCGCTGAGCTGCTGGCCTGGCTGTTTTCCGACAGGGCACCGCTGCTGTTGGTTCGGGAGTGGCCTAGTCGTCGCCCGCTGAAGCTCTCGCTGTCTCGACTGGACCGCGAGGCTGATGTGTTTTGACGATGCGGCATCAATCCTCCTTCGAAGCCTTGCGTCGGCGACTGAATGCGCAGGTGGCTGAATCCGAGATCCCAACTGCCATAGCGATGGACGCAGTGCGGCTCAGTGATGCCAGCGTTCTGTGTCAGAATCTGGTAAACTCGATGCTGGATTTCGTCCGCCGGTGGTCGATCGATCGGATTCGCTGAGAGCATACAGGCGATAATGTGCAGCATGGGCACCACGCCACGGAGGACCGCGGCGCCGTCACTCTCGGATGTTTTCTTGGAAGCTTCTTTGGCAAGTATCGTCATCCAAGATTCCACTTGGCCGAGGTTTTTGTGGAAAGATGAGTCCGGAACTGCACCCCCACGGCCTGCTGTCTTGTTCTTCGATGCCCGGTGCGTCGCGAAAGATTTTGCGCTCTTTTTCAGAATGAAACCTACCATTTCGAGCACAACACATCCGAGTGAGAAGATGTCGGCTGCTTGCGGATTCAGATGTGGATTGGGAGATTGAAGCATCGAGTTGGGGTTGTTTGGATTGTCACTGCGAGATATGGAGAAACCCGTATGCGACTCTGGGGAGACCGACATGGACAAGGTCGCCTTGCGCCCACCGGGACTCGTCGGCCCAGTGGTCGGGCGAAACCACTGTTCCGGGGCCGCATAGTCGTATGACTCACGGTCGAAGGCGCTCTTGTCCGCCTGTCCTGACAGTGCCTCAGCATGGAGCCGTGTGAAGTCAGAGTAAAAGATGTGAAGTTGGCTGGTAAAGAGAATGGTTGACAACTTAATGTTGCCATGCGAGAGTCCCCGGCCATGGATATACGCCAACGTGTCAACGAGGCAAAGTATCCAGTTCATGACAAGTTGCCTGCGGTCCTTCTTGGACTGGTTTTTGAAGATGGAGGGTGTGTTGCCAAGAAACGACTTTAACGTTGTGTCAGTAGCGGGCGTGAAGAGAACGTAACCGGCTCCGTTATGTGTGTATGATGCGTGGCAGGACACCAGGTGTTGGTTTTGGATGCTCCTGATGCTGTTCACGGCTTCCTCAAAGTCGACCGGTGTCAGGCTGCCGAGACTATTGCCGAGAGGAATCCGGCGCCGGCAGAAGACTTGGCCCGGGCAGTTGGGCAACACAACCTTGTCAATGGTGTGACTGCTAGCGAGGCCTGCTCGTCGATCGATGACCTCGAGCGGCACAATTTCATGATTCGTAAAGACGATGTGGTATCCTCTTTGCAGCGGTTTGATGAGGTAATGGAATTGGCGTTGGAAGAACCTGCGGTCAACCAGGCCGGAGCGATTTGGTGCCTGCGCGAGCTGGTCGACCTGCTCCTGCGTTTCAAAGGTCGTGGTCATCCCACGAGTTGTCAATGATGCCAAAG